ATGAGATGCTGGGGTGGGATGTGGGACCAGGGTTTTGTGGAGGGATGGGGAGCTGGGATGCCAGGCTGGGATCCTGGCACAGGATGCTGCAGGGGGATGTGTTATGGGACGCTGGGGCAGGATGCTGGGATGGGATGCAGAGGTGGGACACCGGGGCAGGATGCTGGGATGGGATGCAATGCAGGGCAGGGGACCAGATGCTCTGTGGCATGTGGGGGCGGGATACCAGGGTGGGATGTCAGGCTGGGATGCTGGGCAGGACACAGGTATGGGGTGTTGGTGTGCAGTGTGGGGTGCATTCCCGTGGCACGTGGGGGCAGGATACCAGGGTAGGACGTCAGGCAGGATGCTGGGCTGGCATGCTGGGCAGGATGTAAGTGTGGGATGCAGGATCTGGATGTCAGGTGGGTTGTGGACTGGGCACGGGACAGTGAGGACAAGCAGAATTTGGAAAAGGGCCAGGGCGGCTGCAGGCAGGGCAGTCTCCTGGCTGCAATTCCATGGCTGGAATCCCCTGGGGAGCGGAGCCAGGGCACTGCCCCCTGTCCAGGGACACTGCCACTCTGGGCACGGCCACCCTTTGGGACCTCATGCAGGGACCTCGTGGGCTCTGTCTAGTAGCATGGGGTCCCCAGGGCTGCCAGGTGCCCACCTGCACCTCCCCACTGTCCCCCTGGGTGTCCAGGGGACACAGGCTGGGAGCGTCAGGGAGGGGACAGAGAGGAAGGAGGTGGCAGGGAGGGACGTGGTGCCTTGGCATGGGGCAGTGACCTGGCGTGGCACAGTGGCCTGGCACAGCATGGAGCCCTGGCATGGCGCAGTGACCAGGGCTGGAATGGCACGGTGACCTGGCACGGTGCAGTGACCTGGCACAGCATGGTGACCTGGCACCAAGGCTGCCCGGTTCCCATGATCTGGGACATGTCCTGGGTGTGCAGAGGGGCAACCACAGGCCTCTCAGATGTGCATGCACATGCATATGTGTGCATGCACGTGCATACAGGTGAGCATGTTTGCATGCAAGGTGCCTGTGGTCACAGGCACATGCTGTGGCCATGTGTGCACAGGGCGGCTGCATCAGGGTGTGTGTGCAGCTTGTGCACCCTGTGCCAGCAGAGCCAGGAGCCCAGAGCCTGTCTGTGACACCCAGAACGTGTCCGTGGTCCCAGGAATGTGTCTGGGGTCCTAGAGGGCTGTGCCTGTGGTCCCAGGAACATATCCATGACATCAGGGCCGCGTCCATGACCCCAGGAGCGTGTCCATGGTCCCATAAATATGCCTGTGACCCCAGGAACATATGCATGGTCCCAGGAGTGTGTCCGAGATCCCAACCATGCATGTGATAGTGGGATGAGCACCCAGGAGCACATGCTGCAATGGCTGGGAGCCAGCGCCGACCCCTGGGGTCTCTCCTTCCATTCCTTAGGTTTTTCCTCAAGTTCTTCCTCAAATGCAACCAAAACTGCCTGAAGAATGCGGGGAACCCCCGGGACATGCGGCGCTTCCAGGTGAGCTCTGTGTCTATCAGTGGAGCCCAGAGAGATTTTTCCCAAAGGGGTCTAGGGGAGTTTGGGGCTCGATTCCCTTCGTCTGGGGGGAATCGATCCCCGAATTCCCCTTTGCAAACCCTAGGCCCCTTTTCAAACTCTTTGCAGTTGCAATTCCCATTTGCAAACTTCTTGCACCCCCTTTTCAAACTCTTCCTCTATGTCCCCCCCTCATCCCAAAGCCGAGCGTTCCTCACAGCAGCTGGAGTTTCCTTTTGCAGAGCGGAGAGATGGGGGGGGGGTCTGTCCCGTCTCTTCCACCCAGCACGGGCGCCTTCATTAGGGCCTCTCGTAAAGATATGATAATTGTGACATTTTTACATGATTAACGACCTATCCAATTTGCATAGCACCAAGCAGCTCCGGGAGAAGAGCCAAGTCCACCCACCTCCACGCCGGAGGGAGAGGCAGAGGGGAGGCAGGGGGCACAGGAGGCGGCTTGGGGTGTCCCCCCTGGTGTGCCTGGTGGCATGGGGACAGGCGGGTGACCACAGCGGTGTCCCGGGCAAAGCTGGGATCTTGCAGCACTGTGTTGCGCGCAGTTGTGTGTGCATGCACTTGCACAGCCGTAAGCGGGCGCATGCATGCACACAGGTGCTTGTGTGTGCACACGTACACACGTGTGCATGCATGGATACATGTGTGCACAGATACACGCATTTACACTGGTGACTGTGCATGTACACACACAAACAAGTGCCCACCTTCACATGCATTCACACGCAGGCATGTGCATGCACAGATGCAGATGTGCACATGGATGCATGCATGCGCACAGCGGTTTTTGTGTGCACACGGGCACCCACATACACATGCACGCACCTCCCCATGTGTCCACGTACAGGTGTGTGAGCGTACACAGATGCATGCATGCACGCGGCTGCACCCACATGCATAAACACGTGCACAGCGATGTGCACAAGTGTGCACAGATGCATGCCTGTACACAGGTGCCCATGTATGCACACATAAGCACCCGCATGCACATGCATGCACAAATGTCTATTTGCATACACCTGCCACCACCAAGGCTATCCTGTCCAAGCACAGAGGGCCTGGCAAGGCCACTCCAGGGTGTCACAAGGTGTGGGGGAGTGCTGGGGACAAGGGGGCTCCATTGGGACAGACCGTGCGTGCCCAGGGAATGAGGTCCAGGAGCAGCGGTGCCCGCTGCCCTGACGGGCGCTCCCGCAGGTGGTGGTGTCCACGACGGTGAACGTGGATGGCCACGTCCTGGCCGTGTCCGACAACATGTTCGTGCACAACAACTCCAAGCACGGCCGCCGGGCACGACGCCTTGACCCCTCCGAAGGTGAGTGCCGGCCGCCCGGCCCGGGGCACGTGTGCGCATGCACATGCATGCATATGCATGTGCTGTGTGCTTGAATGCCCCTGTGTGGATGCTCGTGACACATGGGTGGCTCCTGGTGAGTGCAGCACCCGCTGCCCTGTCCCCTGCAGCAGCCACCCCCTGCATCAAAGCCATCAGCCCCAGCGAGGGCTGGACCACGGGCGGCGCCACCGTCATCGTCATCGGGGACAACTTCTTCGACGGGCTCCAGGTTGTCTTTGGCACCATGCTGGTGTGGAGCGAGGTAGGGGATGGCGCGAGGGGGTGGGGCGGACAGGGGCCCCCCAGCCCCGGCCCGCCTCAGCGCCGCGCGCCCCTGCAGCTCATCACGCCGCACGCCATCCGCGTGCAGACGCCGCCGCGCCACATCCCTGGCGTCGTGGAGGGGACGCTCTCCTACAAGTCCAAGCAGTTCTGCAAGGGAGCCCCGAGCCGCTTCGTCTACACCGGTGAGAGCGCACGGGGAGCGCGCCGTGATGCGTGGGCACTGCGGCCAGCACAGGACACACTGGGCACTTGGGGGCCTGTGACGAGGAGTCTGGATATGTGAGATGCTGTGTGCGAATGCGTGTGCATAGATGTGTGTGCATGCCAGGGTGCAACATGTGTGTGGGGCAAGCATGGCTGCATGCACATGCGTGCAGCGTGAGCAGGGCAGTGTGCACCTGCATGTGATGCGAGTGTGGCAGCACGCACACACACGGGCGGTGAGCAGGGCAGCATGTGTGCATGCAGTGTGAGCAGAGCAGCATACAGCAAGCCATGTGAGTGTGGCAGTGTGCATATGCACGCCATGTGAGCAAAGGCCATGCACACACGTGCAATATGCCACAGACCAGGCGCACACGTGCAGTATAAGCATCGGCCATGCACACATGTGGTGTGAACAGGGGGCATACACATGGGTGCAATGTGCTGGGGGCTGTGCACATGCGTGCGGTGTGAGCAGGATCTGTGCACACATGCACAGTGTGCCGGGGGCTGTGCACATGCACACGTGTGCAGTGTGAGTAGAGGCCGTGCACACACATGTGGAATGTCGGGGTGGGGGAGACTGCGCACACGTGTGCAATGTGCTGGGGGGCTGTGCACACACGTGCAATGCGCTGGGGGCCCCGGCGCAGCCCCCCTCACCACGTGCCCCCAGCGCTGAACGAGCCCACCATCGACTACGGCTTCCAGCGCCTGCAGAAGGTCATTCCCGCTCGGGGGGCCGGCCCCCACAGTGCCGCTGCCCGCAGGAGGTGCTGCTGAAGCGCGCGGCAGACCTGGTGGAAGCGCTCTACGGGATGCCGCACGGCAACCAGGTACCGCCCGCCGTGACGGGAGCCACGCCGGCCGCTGGCGCGGGGCTGCACGGCTCCCCGGACCCTCTGCTCCTGCTCTGGACATCCAGCAGGAGCAGCCCCCGCTGCCCCGGCCCTTCCCACCTGGCACAGCCCATTCCTGGCCCTGCTCCCAGAGGAAGCTGTGCATAGTGCATGTCCCAGGATGTGGCACGAGTTGCAGCAACCTCAGCTGTTCCTGCCCTTCCTTTCCCTTCCCAGCACAGCCTGTTCCCATTCCTGTTCCTGAGGGCAGTTCAGGGCTGTGCATGGTGCATGTCCCAGGAGGTGGCATGAGTCTGACCAGTCTCCACTGCCCCTTTCCCGTCCCATCACAGCCCATTCCCATCCCTGTTCCTGGTGGAAGCTGTGCATGTCCCAGGAGGTGGTGCAAGCTGGAGCAGCCTCAGCTGGCCCTGCCCTTCTCCCCCGGGACAGCCAGTCCCCATTCCAGGGACTGTGGGTGTCCCCAGCTGATGCCATCCCTATCCCTCCAGGACCTCATCCTGAAGCGCGCGGCCGACATCGCCGAGGCGCTCTACAGCGTTCCCCGTGCGCCAGGCCAGCTGTCCTCGCTGGCCGCTGGCCATGCTCCCATCATGGGCACCAACTCATTCGGTGGCGGCCAGCTGGCCGGCGGCCTCGGCGAGGCGGCACCGGGCACCGAGCAAGGTGGGCCGGCGGGCGAGCGGGATGCGCGGGGCTCGCACTGCCCGCGGCGCCAGGGCCAGCGCGGCCGCTGCTCTCGCCCGCAGGCTACTCGCGCACCACGAGCAGCGCCTCGCCACGCGGCTACGTGCCCAGCTCCACGCCACAGCAGAGCAGCTACAGACGCGCCCC